AAATATTACAGTAATTTCTTTTTTCTTGTTTCGTCTTTAAAATTTGTCATTTTGATCGTATTTTATTAAATTTGCAATTTTTCTATTCTGTATAATGCAGCTTAAAAGTATTTCATAATATTTAATAGATATTATATTTTTTGTAGTAATTTTTAATATTTGTAATTTCTCCTTTTTTTAAATTTATTTTATGTAAATGTAAAATCACGCGTGTAAATTTAATTTTATTGCAACGGTTAATAGAGATTTGAAAGAAGTAAATAGAGAATTCAATTGAAAAGTGCATCTGAGAATTGGACGACTTACATTTCAGGCCAATGTATCACTTGATTGTATGATTAATATAGTTTTCTTTTTGTTACAGGTGATCATCGTTGGATTTATCATCTACTCCTTTTGAGTTTCTTTTACTTTTTAAAATATATATGTATAAAAAACGCATTTCTGAAGGCACACACGCGTATATTTAGATACTAAAAATTAAATATAATTATTTTAAAGTTTCTTACAATATAATTTTACTATATATACTATCATAGAATATTGTATTCTTTGATAGTATTGTATCGTCATAGAGTTAAGTACATACTATCGTCCAATGGTGGTCCCAGTGTTAATAAAAATAATGCTGGGTAGATAAGAAAGGGGACTTGTGAGCGTCTAAGTATTCCTGCATTCTTTGAAAATTTGTTAACTCATTGTGTATCTACAGTCGGTATTTCGATTAAGCGTTGCGAACTTATCCATTACGTTACTTCAAAAATTGTTGATAATTATAGCGCTGGAAAAATAATTTCTTTTTTATATCGGCACACTGTTTTAAATAAAAACGAGAGTATGTACTTAACGTGATGACCGTATAATACTATCAAATATACAGTATGAAACAGTCTACAAAAAATTAGTACAACAAGAACTGGTAGTAACAGAAACAAACATTCTCCTAAACAATCTACCACTATTATTTTAACCCTTTCGCTAATGTATACGCTCTCGAAGAACATTCATATGCGATGAACATATCTATATGCTACCGAAAAGTGGACGATCAGATACAAAAGAACAACATTTACAAATAAGATACAAAATACACATATTTGTTTTCAAAAGTTACTGTGAAAAAATGATTGCAATTTTCGAAAAAAAAATACTCTGTAAGAGTTTGTCTATTAAAAGTCATCACATCGCGATTTTTTATTTTCTATTTTAATAATATGAGACAATTTTGTGAAGTTTCAATGAAACTAAAAAACGAAAATGAATGAATAAATGAACTACAATAAAATTTATAGGACTTGAAATTAAGCTGAAATAACTTTTTAACAAGTAGACTTATCGAAAAATGATAAGAAACATCTTTTTAAGAGTACATAGTTGTATGTACTCTAAGTACCTTCCTACTTTCAAATGATTCAGGTGATGTTTTGCCAGCGACTGATATAGTATTGTACCGCCATCGCGTTAAGATCCTATTCTTGCTTACTGATGGTCAGGGTACTAACTAAGACGAATGTGGTTACACAAAAAGTTGACTTGTGAGCTTCTATGTACTTCTGTATTCTTTGATAAGAGAATAATCATGTTATAGAAAATAATGTATACCAGTTTTTTTCAATTGGTAATCCACGGATCACTGAACATTTCATTTCATTTATCCGGAGTACAAAAATTTCAATATTAATTGATCCGCGGGACACATGTAATCAGTTGAGGAACATTGACCTATACGAATGTCATAGCGGCAATTAAAAATTATATAAGAATCTAATATGAATACATTTCATGTTAAAAAATATTCATTTATTTTTTGTCGACAATATGGTTGACTATTAATGTTTAAATTTATAGATAACTCGAAGTAGAACGAAAAGAAAAAAGATATGCGATCGTTTTTCAATGTTATTTACTTGAAATTCTGAAGAGTTTTTATCGCAGTAGGAGCATGCGTAGTATACTAAAGATAAATTATTCATCCTAGTTAGGTCGTGATAAACGCCTGAGATTCGATGGCTTTATTTAGTTCGTGTAAAAGAAAATACGCATAAGATGAATAGATAAATATTAATGAATATGTCCGGAGTGTATTAGAGTGTTTGATTAGAAGCTTAAAAAAGTTCAAATACTTGTTTCTATATCACAATAAACGTAACAGTTCGCGTGGAATCACGCGTTCCTCAATGTACTTTCGTTGTTGCGGCCATCATCTTACGACGAAGAAATCGACACCACCTGGTGACATTTAAGTGAAATAAAGTCGAGGTCGAAACTATTGGTGCCATATGCATTTGATTGTATCATTCATTACTTATTTGAAACTTCTCCGTTTGCGTGAAATTTTGTTTAACTATGAGACACATCGTTGCGCTCGACGTTGGTACTACTACTGTCCGTTGTCATATTATTGACGAAAATGCAAACACTGTATCATCCTCCATCGAAAAGGTTTGGAATTTCTTTTATTTTCTTTTTTTTGAAATTTTTTAAAATTATTTCCACCTCCGCGCGTTTCGTACGAATGCATATATTCCGGTTTGGCGCTGAAATTTATTGCAACTGTCTTTTTAATGTTATCAATGACAATTATTGCTAATTTTAATCCGTTTAAATGATTTACATATATACAATTTCTATACTTTATATTAAATCTAAATTAACAGGAGATTGGAATTAAAAACAATAAATGGATCGTTAATTATGAAGATGGTATGAAAGTTCATTTGTAAACGAAATTGAGAAAATATAATTTTAATATTTTATTTATTTCATTTGGTAATAAATTAAATATTTGAATGTTTTATTATATAATAAATGAAAACTATATGTTTATATGTTAATCATTTTTATCTTTATCTTTATTTAAATTTACTTCGATTTAATAGCAAATACAACATATATATATATTTTAATCGACAATCGACTATCGGCTCACTAGTAGCAGCATTTTTATTTTCATTTGCGATCATTCATTCTTTCATTAGATATGTATATTCGTTGGAAAATAAAGTTTCTTGTGGAGATAAGATAAAATTAAATACAAACATGTACAGTTTACAAATACTATTCAACATAATTGCTAGCTGAAGGAAGTAAATACCTTTTTTTTCTATTTCTTTTTGAACTCCAATTATACAATTGTTTTTTTATAAGCCAGCTATAGGAAAACAGCGAAGCAAAGTTTTACATTTAATATTTTTATCAAAAAACGAATGCAATTTAAATTAATTTTGAAAAATAGGAATATCATGTAAGATAAAAACGTTATATTTTATGTCAGCCAATACTTTGATTCATATTGGAAAGTTTTTCAAATTAGTTTTTTTGCAGAAACGTCTTTTTTGTTTCTTTTTTTTTAATTCCATCCATAGAGAAAAAAACTGAAATATAAGTAGACATTCTTGAATGGATATTTTTAAGATGGCCTCGAATACAAAACTCGTAATGAAAATCGTAACACGACGTTGGGATGATATTTCAATTATAGTCATACGCATTCAGTATATGTTGATCCTTAATTACAAATCTAAAAATTTAAGGGCCAATAAAAAAGCAAGTTGACAGAAAAGTGAAAATTTATTATATATTTTCCTTCCGAGAAATGCTATTACAAATAAAAAATTAGGAAAGTAGGAGTCATTAATTATTAATTTTAATATATATTATTTTGTAACAATTCAAATAAATTTAAATTTAATATGTTTTGTCATATTGCATAAGAATTGTAGTTTTTAAATATTCACTTTTATCGCAACATTTGGATGTTTGACTACTTGATAATTATTAAAATGATGTCATTGCCGTGCTATGCATGTTTAATTCCAAATAACTCAAACGATTAAATATTTTGGAATATATGTAGAAGTTTTTTTTTTAAATTAAATAAGAAGATTCTTATTTTCATTGAATTTATATACCGATGTATTGTTGTTTTAATAATTGTATTTCAAAGGAAAAAGAGAATGGGAAAGATCAATAACGCTAACAATAAGAAAATAAGACGAGAGTAAGAATTCATGTCCGATCGAAATTCCGTTTGATCACGGACAAACAATCTTGAATCGTTCATGGACATCATGATGGACATAAAAGGACCTACTTTTGTTACAAGTTTTTTTACTCAAATTATCAATTAATCAAAGCAATTTCAGTAGAATAAAAAATCCTACTTGTTTTTTTATGAGGAGTATTGATTTGGATCACTTTTTTATTTTATTCGTCCACAGGTGGAACTTATTTGTTCAAATCGCGGTTACATCGAGATCGACCCTGACCATTTCTGGAATATTATAGTAAAAACTGTCAAGGATACATTAGATGGTAAAGTAAAAAATAAAAAAGTAAAAATAAAAATGACTAATTACAAGTGTAATTTTGCTCTTCGATTTGTATTAATTCATAACTTGTAATTTGACGTATATTCATGCTTAGAACATTTCTTATCATCTTATAGTAATTCGAAATGGAAATTTAAGATGCCGATTATTTTCGTTTATTATTTTCAATAGCCAATTCTGTTTTTTTCATTTCATTTTTTTTTATTCAGCATTGTTTTAAGTTAAGACAAGATTAAAGCTATAATTCACGTATTTAATTGTCGTGAATTATTTTTTATTTTTTTATTAGTAAGCGGACTCGACCCAAGTTCTTTGACATGTTTTGGAATTTCGACGCAGCGTGGAACTTTCAGCTGTTGGAATTTATTAACTGGAAACCATTATCATAAGTATCTGCAAATAACTTTAAATAAAAATAAATTTTACATAGAAATTTAGTTGCGTGATATTAATTGCGTAAGTTTGATGTTTAATTTGTTAAAAATTTAACTAATAATATAAATACAATGGGGGACAAAAGTATTCGTATAGTAAGTATGTGAAAAGAAAAAGATCTACTAAGTTTTTAATAAAATCTGGTGTTATATTATCCCACACTTTTTTAAAAATTCAAATAGTTTGTTTAATTGTAGTTGAACACGTTATTGTTAATAATTTGAAATATAGGGAAAAACAGTTTTGTTGAGTGTTCAAATATAACGGATCAAGACTTAACGAAGTGTAGATGTATAGTGTTTTGAATATTATAAATAAAAAGACAAATGTATGTCCGCTTAAATATAAAAAAGACGCTGAACTTTAGAGATTAAGTTGCTGAATAAGTCCCAATAAAGGGACGAAACGTCCAACTTATCAAAACGAAGTTCTATTTCTTTTCAATGTCCAAATTCCCTAAGATACCTTTTTATTAATAATTTTATTTTTGGACGAGAGAAACAACTAATTGAATTTGTATATAATATTAAAAGAGGAATGAAAATGTTCAAGAATTTATACAATTGTTATTAAGAAATTAGCTAAAAATCTTGTTAATTTATTAATAATGAAATTAAATGCAAGTTGTTTATGAGTTTAATTTCTTCATTTACAGATTTATAACATGGAAGGATTTAAGAGCAGATTCTTTAGTTAAGGAATGGAATTGTTCATTAATAATAAAAGGATTACGTGTAGGGGCTTACATACTTTACATATTAACGAGAAGCAATCGATTTTTGGCTGGCAGTGTTTGGAAATTTATGAATACTCAGGTTTATTATTTATTTTTCTATCGCTATACGAATATTTATCGCTATACGAAATCTTTTCTGCGACATTTTCGAATATCTGTTTCGAGCAAATTAGACAAATTTGCGGATCTTTTTCTTCATTTTTAAATATAATTTTGTTCTTAAATAAAAATTTGAAATGTACACACGAAACAAGCCCGCAAATTTGTTTAATTGTTCTCGTAATATGTAGCGATTCGATGTGATTAAATTAATTTAATCTGCATCATGTCTAACAAATTCTAATAGGATATTTCGTAATAAGTATCTGTAATTTCTAAACGTCGTCAAACAAAATGTATGAACCTTTTTCATTGTTTTTATGTCCACTTCTGAAATGGTTTCATTATATTCCAAAACATCCTGCACATTTAATGAGTTTCATTATTTATTGCAAATAATAATAATAACAATATCGTCATATATTTTAGATTACCTTACGGTTGCTTTGGGTTTTGCAACATGTACAAGGCCTAAGAGAAGCTACAATGAATGACTCTGTAGCATTTGGCGATGTTAATTGCTGGCTTTTATACAAATTAACTGGTATGCTTTATCAGTATTCATTATTCATATTCTGTTATACATCATATAACTCTTTGCTGCCGAGCAATTTTTAAAGATAAATGTCAGTTACTCTGAATCATGCTTACTGTGAATTACTAACTATTTCAAAGACTTTATAATGCTGTTTCTTAAATATCAACTCAATGAGAAAATAGGAAGGCAAAGGGTAAAAGACCAAATGAATTTTATCAGTTATCTTAGCTCCGAGATTCTTTTTTTCCCCGGTAGTCTTCTTTCTAACGATATTTCACTTCCTGTTAAAGTCACTGCTATTAATTAATTAATTATCTATGTATTTCATTCTGCATATGTTTATGTAAAACACACATTTACTTATCTAAATTATATAGATTTTATTTAATCCGAAAATTGTTTTACATGTCGTTTAATTTATTGCTTACGTTTTTCATGCAATTAGAAATAAACTAAATGTTATTTCTGTAGAGCGCAAATACATTGTTTTAATCTCTAAGAATATTCATTGAGCTATATTCTAACAAAAAGTAGCAACAAGAAATGCTATATTCAAAAATATATGCATAAATGGTCATAAACGTAATTGACACAATTTATATTTATTATTAAGTTTATACACTTGACAAAATGGAACATATATATTTTAAGGATCCTTTTATGCTTTCATCACTGCTTTTATCAATATCTTTTTATCAATACATTTCGCAGAGATATAAAAGATAAATGGGAAGAGAAGCTTTGTAAATTATAGAAGAATATATTCACATCAGTATGCATCGTTAATGTACTTTGGATATCTAAAGATATTTGAATTATCTTTGGATATCTTTGGAAATTATATTATATTTGGAAATTTATTCTTCGCAGGTAAACATATAGTGGATGTTTCAAGCGCGTCTGCTACTGGATTGTTTGATCCGTTTACTATGAAATGGGCTACATGGGCAATGAATTTATTAAAAATTCCACATCATATATTTCCTGAGATCGTTGATACCGCTACAAACTTTGGGGTTACACCGAAACATATATTCGGCGTTGAAATTCCTATATATTGTTGTGTAATATTTAAAAATAGAAATATTTTCTAAATTGGTTCGTTAATTATTCGTTCCTGTAATATACTTGCAATTATTGTTTATAATTTTAGATGGCTGATCAAGCAGCTTCCTTATTCGGTTCGGGATGTTTTAATCCAGGTGATATGAAAATTACGATGGGTACAGGAACTTTTGTTAATGTTAATACTGGAGCAAAACCATATGCATCTGTTACTGGTAATTGCAAACAAAAAGACATGCAAATCTGTTATATTTAAACATATATCTAAATTCTGTTATATACTCGCATATTGAATAATATCTAAAAAAAGTCAAATTAATTATTAGGTCTTTATCCCCTGGTTGGTTGGCGTATTAAATCTGAATTAGTTTACATTGTAGAAGGTTCATCGAATGATACCGGAATTCTCATTGAATGGGCGAAAGCTCTTGGTAATTTTTCTTTCAATTTCAATATTCACAAATTACAAAATAGATCTCTTAACTCTTTCGATACACGTATATCGTTGATAAATACGCTTAAATCTTATTCGCATCATTTATCATAAAGTTTAATCATAAAGTTTAATCATGTATATTATGTCGCAGAAATTTATAAAGATGTAGCAGAAATATCGGATTTAGCAAATTCAGTGGAAGACTCGGATGGAGTATATTTTATACCAGCTTTTACCGGACTCCAGGTATAGACATTAAGTTTAATTATAAAATGCATAATATAAGATATTATTGTAATCTACATTTGATATTTTAATTAGAAAGAAATAATGTTGAGCATACAGTCTCTCTTTGTAGGCTCCGATAAATAATAATTCTGCGGCAGCAGGTTTATTAGGAGTGAAATCAACAACAAAAAAAGCCCACATTTTACGATCGTTATTAGAAAGTCTTGTATTCAGAACGTTATTGCTTTGCGATAGTTTTCATTCAGAAACTAACTTCACGTTTAACAAAGCACGGTAAGGATTGAAGCCTTTGGTTAGATAAATAATTTTCCAAAGTTGAATGAAAATGAAATGAATATAATGCGTTGATAAAATAGAATCGACGGCGGAGTGTCCCAAAATGATTTCATGATGCAACTATTGGCAGATGTCACGGGTTTAGAAATAGAGCGACCTGTCAGTGTAGAAATGTCCATTTTTGGTGTAGCATGTTGTGCTGGCTTATATTGTGGTACGAAAATTGTGTGTGTTATGTACATACGGAAATTCAGATTAATAAAAATAATCAATAATTTATTTTAGGTATATGGAAAAATAAAGAAGAATTAAAAAATCTTCGCAAAGTGGAGAAAATATTTAAGCCAAACAAAGATTCGCAATTACGTTATAAAAATACTATTACCCAATGGAAACGAGCAGTAGATCGATTTACAGACTGGTATTGATACCAAAGGTGCTTGGTCATAGTCAAGTAAAAAATAAAAAAAGCTGTACTAATATAAATATTTATGTGCTGTAAGAATCTAGTTAAAAAAAGCTATATTCCTAAAATATATTGTAAATAAGATTATCTATGTAGTAATACGAGCATCACGTTTAGGATACTGTTAGTTTTAAATGATATTTAAATAGAAAATGAATAGATCGAATAATTAAAGATATTGTAAAAGGCATGATATTCTAATGCAATACTTATAATTGTAGTATACTCAATAGATAAAAGTCGATTTTTAATCAAAATAATGTTTTCGCGTGATCTATCAAGAATAATAATAATTAATTATTTAATACACAAAATATGCTACACACAGCTATATACTATTTGTTATATTTATAGAAACCATTCTTGTGATAAAACATTCGCGAGTCATTAGTAATGTTAATGTGTTCCTGAGAAAAGTGCCTTTTTATATTGTTAACATATTTAGGAAATCTCTTTAATAATGATATATTTTTTTATACACATGATTCGTTAGTACAAACTTTTTAAACAATAAAATATATCATGTTACTGATGGCTTTTTCTTTATCCCACAATATTTGTATTCTTAATGCGTACCAAAATAACGTTTCATTTATTTTGTATGGTTTTCAAAAATACAAATTGCCATAAAGAGTTAAATATATTCGAGATAAATAATCCATTGTAAAACGCAAATGTATTAGAGTATTATAAACTCGTACATCGTATGGTACAAAACCGGTTCTTCCATGTTCGCATTGTATAATATACTAAATACACTAAATAATACATGAAGCATGTAATGATATGAAACTAAGTCATTCTCGATGTATATTTTGTCAAAGTCACTTGTATCACATATATTATCAAATATATTTTGCATCTGATTTTCTATTTATTTTATCGCATTTTGTATGTTTTGTCTCATTCGGTCATTAAGATATCTGATTAATTATTTAATATATATATATATATATAAAATTTTTATTTAATGACATTTTCTTCAATAAATTTGTATTCGAGACGTTTAAAATACTGATGGTTATATTGTTAAGATAATTCTTAATCTATTCAAAATGAGATTTTTCTAGGATTATTCTAGGATATCATTATTACGAAATAAAACAAGAAATATACAAAATACCTTTACTAATGACATACTTTATTAATTAATATGCTAACAACATATCAAATCGTTTATGTTTTCAAATAGTATGAATTTTTTTTATTGAGTAAAATTAACGAGAATTTATTTAAGTAACTGTTTCATTTTGTTTCTATACAATTTTGAAAACGAATTAATCATCGTATTATAAAACAAATTTTTTATTCGTAGTTAGTTTTGCGAGGTAAAAATTAAATAGAATAATCGAATAAATTGTTTCCAGTAGTATCGATCCATGGGAATAAATTTTGTCGGATGTATTGTTTTCAATCTTGGAGGGGGAAGCGAACGCGCCTATGTGTATACATTTATGTATTTACATGATACGTATTTCCATGACTGCGTACATAAATTTGGATAAATAAATAAAAGTACAGTGAGTAAAAGAATTATTTGAAAAGTTTTTTCAATTTAAATAACTTTTATCGAACTAAACTCTGAAAATTCGAATAGGAAAATAAACATGTTAAATGAAGTATGTGAAGAATTTTAAAGAAATATTTTATTGTTATATCTGATATGTTAAATAATACAGAATATGAATTAAATAATTTCTTGTGAATATTTGTAAAACTTTTATAAATAAGGTGTATATAAATTTCGTCAATCTATTTATTTCTATATGTGAATTTTGTAAATTTGTATGTGTGAGTGTGTGTGTGATTAAAATTGATTAATTAAGTTTATTCAAAGATTTTGAAAAATTCTAATAAAATGATTGAGTTTTACGATACAATAAAAATTATAATGTAAATTTAATATATCTTTAAACAAATATAATTTATTATAAAAGTATAAGTTTACTTTAAAATTGATTCTAATTATTTTTATTTCTAAAAATTCTTGATAAAAAAAAAACACCAAAAATTCTCTTTTTATATTTTCTGTCAATATTACAAGAAAAATAATATTCCTGTATTTAAAATTGTTCACATACCACATACGGTGTACACGAATTTATTTATATCTAATTAAAAATCATAAAAATATGTTTTATGTTTGCCTTTCAATGTCCGAAAATTTTTCTGATTGACTGTATGTCAAACGTTTTCGTTTTAATTCAGTATAACAACAACTCGAGCTTGGGAATGTTGAAAACAATGCTTTCGGAATCGAGGAGTGTTCATTCCTCTGGCTTGAAGCGTGCCCAACACACGTGTTCTACGAACCTGTTTTAAGTTAGTTTTAAGTTGGTCTCGAGCGACCGGTAAACACACCGCGTGCTCACAGTGCAACTCTGTAGTCTGTAAATCGAGATCGTGAATCTAACGGAGCGTCTAACCAACACCAGTTTTGAGAATTCTTCAAGGACGTGGTCACAAAAACGATATTTTAAAAATGGTATGTAAATTAATTGTATTTTTTTCATAATCTCTTTCAATTTTGTTTTTTTTTCCCCTTTTATCCACGGATACAAATTTTAAATGCAACGTCATTGTTACGGTCATCATTGTTTTGATTAAATTAAGTATTCTAAATCATTCGTATTGGTGGATTCGAACAAAATTATTATGTGAATTTGCTTTGATTTTTTCTAGCCCCTCCCCACTCTCAAATTACGTGATGTTATGATTGATATAATGAACATTAATTTATAAATAATATTGTTTTTTATTTAGAAGAAAAATAATTTGTAAATAATCTGTTCGATGAGTAAAGGTCTAATATTAGAAATGAATGATTTATTTATGATTCTAGTCGTTGTCGTATTGGTAAAATGTAAATTTCTAAATGGATAACGATAGAATTTATAAAGCGCATGAAAGAAGAAGGGGAGACCAAAGATATATATTTACATACCTATAAATATTAGAGGGTAAAGTTGAACGAATATATTAACATGTAGATATATAAAACCTGATATAGACAATCGGATGTGTTAAATGGTATTTTTAATCGATTGCAATTTGAATAATTATTTAATGATTCTTCTTTTACAAAATTCATTTTACGAAATAATGGTAAATTATAAAATAAACTCTGATCGATACTCTTTCTCTTTGTCTTTTTCAATGTTTACTTTCATTTACATTCTCGTCGCGGAAGAATATTTATTTGTTATTTTTAAATTTATTTTTTAAAGACAAATAATTAACGCGACAGAAAAATAACGTTCGCTTAGATTTTCTCGAGAAACCAATTTGCGTAAGATGTAATTCGTACAATTGCACCGCAAGAGATTGCACGAATAAAAACCGCAGACACGCGACACCTGCGTCCGACTTGTGCGCGTGAATGTAATTTGATTAAATTATCTTGCATCAAATTCTATTCGGGATCCTTTCCGACACGTAATGAAAATAATATCATCGAGAAATTCGACTAATTATAGATACATACGTCCATTTGACTACATTCTCGCGAAAACAAAATTTACTAATACTTTGTCGTAGATTATCGAAGCGATAGCGTGAGTTTCCAAGTTTTCAATTATTGCATTCGATTATTGTGCAACATGATATAAAAATTGCCATAGCTATCCTATAATACGATATTATTGTAAATTGATTTCTTTAAATAACTGAAACTTCTAATTTTTTATCTAACCAAAATTTAGTCTATAAACTTAATTCTTGTCAAATAATAAAAAATATATTACATTTTTATTTCAACATAAATATAGGTATATACACTCAATCCTTTTATAAAACAGTATTTCGAAAGTACAGTGCAAAAATTTTAACAGTTGCTCCTATAACAGGACCTTTCAAAATGTCGCGACCGATTATTGCTCGGGTAAAATGGCTCGTTATGTGGAAAAGTTTGAGAAATCCTGTCCTATAATACGATAGTATTATAACCAACTTGGATAACCTTCATAGAACACACATTTTTCTATCAAATTTAATTCTCTTCTAATTCTTTCATATTACATTTCTTTTATTTCAAAAATATTCTAAATATATATATTACTTGGATACATACACTAAACACTTTTATAACACAATTTCTTGGATAACGTTTATATAGTACAAATTTCGTTTTATTATAATTTCAAATGATAATATCGTGTAATTAGCGATAGCCTCTATTTTACGACTTATGTACCCAGTATCTCTGACAATTCAACATATCATTTTCCATTGTAGGAAATAATAATCTCGTAAACAATATTTTTCATCGTCATAACTCATTTCAAATGATTTAATTCCAAAATTAAAAAAAAAATCTATGCAAAAGCTGCTATGAATTATTATAGACATATCAAGTACTACAGTAGATCTTGAACTTTGCCTTACGTCTTAGTAGGTGTGTCATTAAATGATGGAATAAAAAAAAAAAATAAAAAAAAATATATATATAGAGAAAGAGATCCACAATTTTTTTGGTATCTAATTTTTTTCATTTCTCTTTATATTTGTTTCGTTCTTATTTTTATTTTTATATAGAATATCTTATCTGCGTATCAGACTGAAACGTGTTAATTAATATTTGTTTCTGTTTTCATAACAGATTGCATATAATTCTGTTACTAATACTTTATATTTGTTATTCAAAGTTGCACAATGTATATAAAAGATCAACGGTTAAAAAGATTATGACGAGTTATTGAATAAAAAAAAAACGATTTTATTTCTTACTCTGTCTAGCGTCAGAAATATTTAATTAATGGAAAAATTGTTATATTTAAATTTGTTTTTCCTTCTTATTTAAGATTCCTAAATATAATATTGGAAGAAAAAAACTTCTGAAAATATAATTTCGATTTCTTATAGTCATCTTGAATAAATGTAATATAGGTCCGTTATATTAAGAAACTTACCAAACTGGTTTTGTGAATTTAATATAAACCGGAGATTATTTGAAGTCCAATTGATGATATTTTGAATTATCAAAGTAAAACTATCTGTACAAGAATGAGTTGAAAAGTTTGGAGCCTCACGTTTATTTTATGAAAAAATCGCATGACCTTATTGGACAAGCTAATAATTTGAAATTATTGTTTTCAAATATTTTTCTTTTTTATTTTATTAAGTAAAAAAATCTTCTATTTGTTTTTTAAATAGAAGTGCGACCGAAAAACAAAATTTATTCTATTATATGTCAGGCTCAAAACTTTTCAACCCACCCAAAAAAAAATATAAAATTAATCCGAAATTATTATTTTCAAATATTTTTATTTAGTTATTGCAATTTAAATAATTGTTATTTTAGATGTGGTTTTATTGCGATTCAGTCACGCGTAACAGATTAAACACATAAATAATATAAGATCAAAAGCTACCAATTATCCTAAATTTTTATTTTATCTAACTTGAACTTTTTTAAGCTGATTTTTCTCAGTTTTATTGACAGTCACTTCACAGTTATAGAGAAAAAATTTATAAACAATCTGAAAACCAGGTTTTTACTCGATAAAACAACTAGTGTATAAGAAAGTGCGGCAACACTGTATTCAGCTAAGAGCTAAACATGTGACTATAGAGTTTTATATGCAGTACAAGCAGTTAGAGTATCTTTTACGAGATAGAAATAAAGAAAATTCTATCTTTATTACTTATATATATATGTGATAGAGCTTGTACAAAACATAATAGTGTCAACTTAAAAAATTAACAGTGTTGTCACATTTTCTCTTTTTTAGAACGTTAAATAATTAACATTCAAAATATTTTTCATTGAAAATGATTGAAAATAAGTAATATTTAAATCAAAATTGTTTTTATACCGTAAAGTAAAAAAAATAATAAAATAAAAAAATCGAGGTGTATTCACCTTATCGAAAGTTATTTAAAATTTTTCATGATATTTATCATTTCTTATTAAATGTAACATTATTAATAAAATAGCTTTTTTTTTAATAATACATTCTTTTTTAGCATTGACATAATTAATTTTTTTCATAACATGCTATAAAACGTAGATATTCATGAATTTTAAATTTTCAACACTTTCACTTCCGATTGTACCTCCCAACATCCTTAAACGATAAAAAGAAGAAGAAGAAAAAGAGGTTTTTTACATTTCCATTAAAACATCCTGACCTTTGACTATAACTTTGATTTATCTTACATAATTATCTGCTTATTTCCATTTGTTTTTCCTTTTTATTAAAAGAATGATTAATTTTTTTTCTTTAAATAACATTTGTTCGTACGTAAATCTTTTTTCATAGGCGGAAGTTATCATAGATATACCAAAACAAATAGACGATGAATTGAAGAATGAAATGATTACGTCAACAGTATCATCCGAAGATGAGACTACTCGTATTGATCTTCAAGCAGCTGTGATCGAGGTTTCGGATTCACGTAAGTGGAATAAAATTTAATATGCAAACAAACATATATGCAAACATACACACGCATCTCTAAATGCAAACAAACTGACGGATTAATTGTTTCTTGATGGATTGTTTAAAGGTGAGTCGAAAAGTTTTGAATTTAACATAGAAACAATTGTTTTTTTCGCAATCAAACTCAAAACTTTAACGCAACCCACTCTCGTAGATATAAGGTATAAATTAGCTTAAACAATTAATACGTAATTTTGGATTAATATGAATACAAATTTTGGCATGTAAGAATGTACGTATATGCACGTGCCAGAAAAAAAAGATTTGGCATATAAATGCATATACAAATATGCATGTTTACGCGAATACGAATAGATAAACGGAGATTTATTTTTATGTAATTATTTAACTAATATTTACGTGCATATAAATTAAACACGTAAGTACTCTCGCGCGGGCACGCGCAGATATATAAATGCACACAAATACAACAGACAAATAGATTTGTTCTCGTTGAATTATTTAATTTAATAACTAGTTTGAAAATAAGATAGGTGATACACACTTATAAACTTGGTTAAAAGGAAAAATTGTCAGGGTTGTATAAGTGATAGTTAAAAGTCTTCCATTGAAGTATACCTCCATGTATATTCAATGTGATAATAGTTTTTTCTTGTTGGAAGGACGTGAAATGACGTAAAACGAGGAGGACCATATATATACTTCATAAATAAGACAATAATTAAATATAATGTTAGATTTTACAAATAAGAGAGAAATGTCATTTTCCTTGCATTTTCATTTTCTTACTCGACGTATATCGTAATATCGAATAGTCGTGAAAGAAAAACTGACCAAGAATTTTCTATTCATTTACAATTGTCCAACGAAAATATTTCAAGGTAGGGAATCATATTTCCAAATATTTGTTAATGATAACGAGTTTATTTGTATTTCTTTTGAATTTAATTTGTATTTTATTAATCATAAGTTTGTCAAAATATTTAAATATTATGCACGCACATACACAAACATACATATATACACAAAAACATAGTACTTTCTCGAACGTATATCGTAATAATATTTTTATCTAAATCCGAGGTTTACTTATAATTGGCATTTCTTGAAATATGCGGTGAATGTAATCCCTACAACTTTCACTTTTAAGCTTAAACATATGGTTAAGAACGCTATAAGTGAATATCATGATACCAATTTTGAGTAATTGAAACTACTTATTTTTTTTTACACTCAGGTCACTCATGGCTCTATTCGGTTATTAAAAAATAAGAAAATTTTAGGAGAAAAGAAAAATTTTATATTTGTTACCTAAATCAACGTTTCGCAATCTTTACGCTACGGTAAACTTGAAATGATACGTGAAATAATAATTGTTATTTACGTCGTAATGAAGGAAATCATAATTTGTCCAAAATTATCTGCCAGTAGATCGATGATATTGCAGTAATAATCGTATCTTCGAAATATTTCTTTGAACAATTAATAATTTCGCGATAAAAGTTATAATTCCCCTATAATCCTGAACAATTTTGCCTTTGATCATAACTCTATATTTTATCAAACATAACTGACATTTTTGGAAATAATTTTATATATCAAATAATATATGTATTTTATTCTTTTTCAAAAGAGTTATTCTAAAATCGTGTAGTTTTAAACCGTGTAATTCAGGGGAAGGCATTTGTGTTCTTTAAGTACCGTGTTCTTCGGTGATTACCTGCATATATATTATATATTTATATAGGGTGCAGCAGAGGAACGAACGTTTACAAAAATCGATTTTCCCATACATCAGAGTGGTAGGGATAATTCGACTATCTACACTGTTTTCAGCATTTAATAAGTATGAAGCATTGGACCAGTGTGTAACGTTTGTTTGCTAAAGTGTAGAACAAAAATAACGATTGTTTTGTGGCCACTCAAAAATTATTTCAATACAAGTTCAACATCGACTGTTGTTATCTTTAAATAAAATGCTTTCTTCTCTGTACTTTAAAAAATGATTTATTTCTCATTTTTTTAAATTATTAAACTTCTGTAATTGTTTATATCTCTGCAGCACAATCTGTACACATATACATATTTTCATAAGTATCAAATTATAATGATACAATAAGTAGTTGATTTTGTGCAAAAATAAGGTAAAATTTATATGGTATCATTATTACATTTTCAAAGAAAAATTCATAATAGTAGACGTATACATATTTACATATGTATAATATATTATAACATATTGATATAAGTATATTTTTTATAAACCATATGTAAATATGTTAATAATTTTTTTTGTTATATATGTTCATTAATATAGCATCTATCAAATTAATTTAATGTTTAATGAGAAAAAAACCAGCAAGTATATTAATTTTTTGATTTAATTTTACAATTTAATAGATAGTGTATTCCTTTGTATCCGATTTTTGCAATGGAAACAATATCAACTCTGTCTAATAGTACATCTGTTGAGATGGATGTTAACCGACATAAAGATGTTGACAAAAATCATCATTGTGTGAAAATTCTCGTGGAGACTGCTCATACACCATGTTACAACGCATTTGGTAGGATTTACTTTCTCCAAATATTTTATCAGAGTATTCGTTTAAGGCATATAGTATTTATTGTTCTCGTATTTGTCTTGCATGCTGTGTATTAAACAAAGTCTTTCATGGTACTGCTATTTTGAATGTATAAATTATTTAAGGACTAAATTCTATCATTATGAGATAGTTTGTATGTTGAACTATCATGTATAATACAAAAATAAGCAAAAATACTATAAATAAAATTTTTACATTTTTTTTTTCAAGTGTATTTATACACCAACTCATTTTCTTCTTCAACGCACTTTCTATAAAAGAACTTTGCACTTGATTTTTTAATGGTATCAACATGTGATAGCATTGTGACTTTGGAAATCTACTTTTCAATCTAAAGATCTTTAATATTTGTTTCATCTATTTAATTTCTTTTATTTCTAATGCTTTATTTATTTTCTTGACTTCTAAACTTGCAAAAAATTAGGACTAGCAAATATTTTTAATACAAATCTCTTACAAGAAGAAAAAACAGTTGAACCCCAACGGATTTTTACGAGCTTCGGTATATCAATACCTTTAAGGTATTCTCACAGTAAAATATTTCGGTGAACTGGTCGGCCAATTTTGAGAAAAAAGCTTCCAAAATTTGCTTTTTTTACATATGTGCTTATCTTCTTGTAAATTCAATTGTTTATCAATTGACGCAATAGCGTAGGTAGTAGTGTTATCAGCTGTTAATCTGGTGGGTTAGTGTTCTATTTTTGATGGAAAGTAATTTTTTTTTATAAGTTTCTTTTATTTATAAGTTTACAAAAATTTTGTTAACATTAACAAGATGTAATCCTGTTGATTAATTATATTTTATATTCTATAAAACACTACCAAATGTTTATTTCGGTACGATAATTCTTCACGAGGACGGCGGTGGTGTTTGGGAGTTACCGTTAATTATGATTAATTAATCGATTATTTTTCTTACAGCTCAACAGGTTATTTTATATTGTTGATTTTGTGGTTTACTGTCTAAGCTTAATGTAAGTGGTAATTACATTTTACATGCATTATTATTCATTTTTATACTGAATAATTGAGTTAAAGATAAATTGATTCTATTTTACAATTTTTTTACAGATATATAGGATGATTTATCGACATTTTTTTCATGCTATTGTTATTTTTTCTTGACTTTGTGATATCATAAGCAATTATTCCATTTTTTTTAGTTTATAATTTTTTATTTACTTCGTCAACTTATTTATCTATTTTTTTCCTAAGTTAAAGATGCAACTATATATATTTGAAAATCTGACCCATCGAATCGACGCGCTCTCTAGTGGCAATAGAAATCATCCTTTCATACTGCATATACACGTATAGGACATATTTATAATTAATATATAACTATATAATATATACCTATATAATATATATCTATATAATATATACCTATATAATATATATCTATATAATATATAGCTATATAATATATATATATATATAGTATATATATATAGTATATAGCGCTATATATAGTATAGCTTCGTGAGGAGGATTATGAAACAGTACGACGATTCTGACATCTAGCGACGAGGACGGTAACATTGCGTAAAGATTGAAGCAAATAATGAATTTGAGAGAGAAAGAGAGAGAGAAAAAGAGAAGAAAATATATATATATATAGATAGATGGCAGAAAAGAAATGTGGTAAATAAAAAACGTTTATAAAGAGAGAGAGAGAGGGATAGACAGGAGTGGTAGGCGAGTTATAAACAGTAGATATATTATGAAAGTATCTCTCAATTTCCTTTAGTTATGTGGAAGGACTGAGATAAGCAGAGAGAGAAAGAGAGAGGAATAGATAAGGAAAGAAATATTGAAAGAAAAAAAGTAGTGGGACAGTTTTGTTGTCGTTTATTCGAGTTCTTTTTCATTGTATCGTATCCTTGGGTAAGATCGACATATCATATATGTGATTTATTCAGTAATTCTTTACAGTTTTTTCGGTTTTTTTTTCATCGGACGATTCATCGGATTTTTACCATTTTATAGAAAATAATTAATTCAATCACATTATGGGTAAGTGTTGTGTTATTCTTTCAATAAATTTTAAAAATAATCTCAATTACTTCTCGTTTCTGGACTTTGTTTCTTTTTTACGTCACAATTTATCCATTCGTTTCAGAATGATTAGATTTTTATCCAGCTGTTTTTCTTTATTTTTAGTTGATCTCATGACTCTTTGTATCGTTCTGTTGCCATATATTTGTCGTATATAATATTATTTTGTTTAAACTACGTATAAATTGCATATTAACAATTTTAAATAATCAGTTAAAAAAGATTGTTAAAAATAGTTATCTTTACAAATGGCTGATATTTTCTATTGGAATATTATTATTTTTGGATAATTATTGGAATAGTGTGATTGTAGTTTAAAAAAAAATATCTTATACCATGAGATTAATTAAATAAATATGTAGATAAATTTATTTACTTAATTATTTATTTATAGCCTATTGGACTAATAAATAGACTTAGCTTTACAAAATAAACCAAATATAAATTTTATACATGTAAACTCTTATATAAGAGAACAAGTTTTGATCTTATCTCATATATCGCAGCTTAACTGTCTGGAATTTAATGAAATTAAGAAAACATATTTATATATGGTTTACATCATATTTTTATATTTATTTCTCACTGTACGTATCAAGTCTATCTAGAAGAGTATAATCGAATGTTCAAAGGATGGGAGCTATTTTTAATGCGATGTGCATTTTTTAATGTGGAATTTTACAGAATGGTTAATAGTATTGATGAACACAGTAATATCTAAATTAATTAATGATTTATCTGCTCTCTTTCATAATCATCAATGTCATTTATAATAGATGTTTACTACGAATTATTATTTTTCTATATACAAAATTGAATTCTTTAAAATACTATTATTTGTTGCGTTTTTTTTATTAGCTTGAGGAAAATGAGAAACCAAGTCTCTGAATTGTATTAAAAAATAAGTTGTTATTTTCAACTAATGAATTTCTAATGTAAAATACATTATAGTTTATCTGTATTCCTCTAATATTTATTATAAATTTGATACCAGGTTTCCATAGAATTTATATAAGTTATTGCATGAATTATGACTTCCTCTAGTAATGAAAATGAATTTCTCAAGCGACATACATTATAGCTGAACATTGAGAAAGAAAAGTATATTAATAACTGATTTCTTATTATCAGTCTTCTTAATGCTCTTAATCGTTCTATAAAATTCCACATTTAGGAATACCTACGTATTACATTAAAAAGATTTCCCACTTTGCGAATATATTTCTTAATATTGCTTTTAAATTAGATATCAAATATTCTTATTTAATTTTAAATGTTAATAATGTTATAATAATGTTATTTTTATACATTTCTTTATGCATTTCTATTAGCTTTATATACTGAACCTTATAATATAATGCATTGTATATGTTATATTTTATCACTGGACATCTATATGCATTCATTTGCTATATCATTTAATTAATTAAAATATTAGTGAATTCTACACGTGTAGAGATAGATTTTTATCATTCAAATAGATAGTTATCATTTGATAGTTATCAAAGCGTAGTTCATAGATCAATCAAGTTATTAAATTGAATATTTTTATATTACAAAGTTTTGAATAATGTTATTAGACATATTTTTGTGATTTTATATTTTATTTATATCTTACAATGTATCCTTATATTTTGTATTGTTGACATTTCTTAATTGTGATTTTTATAAAATAATGTTTTTGCAATCAACCTTGAAAAAACTTGATTCTCTTCAATAAAAGTCTGATTAAGTATATTTTGCTGATTAATTATTCCTTCACCGAATAAGTTGCTTTATTTTGGTTATCAAACTTTTTATTTAAGATCAGGGTCGAAGTACAAAGTTTAAGATTACGCTTATTTATGAAAAATAATGTAAGTTATAAAAATCAATCTTCTTATTCTTTTTTCTGTTTTAGCACAAATTAATGGAAAAATGGTAACAGCCAATTATGCTGATGTAAGTTATTGTTCGGAGTATTCTTTATTTGATATCTTTATAACGAAGTTTACTTCGATATTAACTATATATATATAAAGAAGATATAACAGAAAATTATTCTTTATGTATTGATAAGAATATTATGTAATTTTAATTTAATATTCAATTCCTGTAACGAATCTTTTTTAGATTGTACAAAGCATGCGAGATACATTTTTTAGTGGTAAAACAAGACCATTGGCATGGAGAATAAAGCAATTAAGACAAATGATTAGAATGATGGAGGAGTGCACACCTAAATTTTTATCCGCATTGGCAACAGATTTAAGACGGGTAAAAATTAATAACATTATTCATTGCTTTATAGAGTTATTTATTTTTAATCATATATTCGTTTGTTCTTTTTCCAGAGTAAATTTGAGTCTATGATTTTAGAAATTAATTATACTATACAAGATATTAAGCACATGATTTATAACATAAAAGATTGGGCTGCTCCAGAAAAGGTATTAGAAGAAATTGTTTATTGTTTAAAATGAAATATGTTACAAAAAAAATATATACATGTATATATGTTTAAAAAAAATACTCGTTTTTTAGCCTGCTAAAGCAATAGTGAATATACTCGATGGCGTTGAAATACAGAAAGATCCTTATGGTGTTGTTCTCATCATAGGAGCATGGAATTATCCAGTACAATTGATCTTGGCACCTTTGATTGGTGCTATAGCAGCTGGAAATTGTGTTATTATTAAACCCTCGGAAATTGCACAAGCTACTGCTAATCTTTTGGCAGAAATAATTCCAAAATATTTAGATACAGTGCGTATTGTGGAACGTTTTATTGAATATTTATTTTAAGGGGAGTTTCTTTTTACTGTAAATTTATTTACTTTTCAAATAGGAGTGTTACCGCGTTATAACAGGAGGTGTAGCAGAAACGACTGAACTACTTAAACAAAGATTTGATTATATATTTTATACTGGTTCTACTAACGTTGGTAAAATAGTTCGTGAAGCATCTAGCAAATACTTGACGCCTGTTACTTTAGAATTAGGTGGTAAAAGGTACGATTGTAAAATATAATGTTAAATTTAATACATAAAATTTGGAGTTTGTATTAAATACTTTGTATATATTTCAATTTCATATATCATTATTCTTTTAGTCCTGTTTACATAGATAATTCGGCAGACGTATGTATAGCCGCAAAGAGAATATTATGGGGGAAGTTCATCAATGTTGGACAAACTTGTATTGCACCTGACTACGTATTGTGTTCCACGGAAGTTCAAAATAAATTTTTGGAAGAAGCTAGAAAGATCTTGAAAGAGTGGTATGGAGATAATCCTAAAGAAAGTCCTGATTTTTGTCGTATTATTAATGAAAATCATTTGCAGTAAGTATAAATGTATTTGAAATTGATTGAATTTGTAAGTTCTACTAAGTAAGTTATATTATATGTTCTCTACATAGGCGTTTAAAGAATTATTTATCAGGCAATGGAAAAGTAGCAATAGGTGGTGACTACGATCTCGCAGAAAAGTATATTTCTCCAACAGTACTTATCGATGTAAGGTCTACTGATCCAGTTATGCAAGATGAAATTTTTGGACCGATTTTGCCAATTATTAATGTTGATAATGCTTACGAAGCTATTCGTTTTATTAACAGTCGGTGAGTATTAAACATAATAATACAGGGACTTTTCAGAAGATACATTTAACACTTTGACTGCCATGTTGATCATATATGACCGGTCATGGTTTTTCCAGTAATGCCACGGTGGTCATTGGTGACTGGAGCATTTGAACTTTTTATAATTGCAAAGATTGAATAAAAATTGTCAATTAGTACGTTTTGAATATATAACTGATAAATAGAAGATACTTTGAAATAAAAAATGCCCCATTGAACATTTAAAAATTTTTATTAGAACATCAATAAATAAAATATTAGAACAGATTTTGCATCTAATGATGCACTGTGTTAAAACACTTTAAACATAAATGTGGCTCATCAATGTAATCTGGACAGTAGGTGGTCACCTTTCTGGTTCAATTTTTAGCAATTTTTGATCTAACAGTTTAACCTATTTTTTTATAACACTCTCTGCAAAATTTTCGTGTCAGGTATGCTTTACCTTCTTTCTTTTGCATTTCGTACTACAATCTTTGTCGAATAAGTGTATCTGACGGCTCTGGTGCATGGCACTGTGTAAGATGCATTGCAAGTGCCATTCTAAATTCTCTGATACCTTGATTTTTGTTTTCGTTGCTAGTTTATAGAGTATCATTGCATTTGAAAGTGCTGTATTTAATAATAACTCTAAAAATAATTTTATATACATACCACTTGAAGGTTTTTCTGTGTGGTGTGAAATATACTATCATTTGATCTGATAAATCTACAGCACATTTTGCTATGTTGTAATCGGTCAGGAATTATTCGTTGCAACAAATTCCTCAACCTTTTCCAAAATTTGATGGAACACACATATCTTACTATTATATATAAAATGAGAAAATACTGTTTACTAATATCTTCTACACGTTTCACCAATATATTCTGGACGTTTCGTTTACGATGAAATAACGAATGCGAATAATTTGTGAAAATAAATGAAACTTTGTTAAATTTGTCGTTATCAAGCATCACCAAGGCATCACGGTGGTCACCCATGACCACCAATAAGATAAACGTTGGGTAGGAATGTTGTCTTATATCATCAATTTATGACTATTTTGCTATTATATGCTTTGAATAATAAAAATACTCCCATAGTGTCCTGAGTGAGACATGTGATTTCGGCGTGGCAGTCAAGATGTTAAGAAATATTTGAACGGTAAATTATTTTGTTCATTTCAAATTAACAATTTCTTTGATTCAAATAAAGACAAATATTTCTTAGTACATGTAAATTTTTTGAATTTAAATATGTTTGATGACCATCCAGAGTATCTTTGTTACTTTGGTAGTAATTCGTTTAGGATAATATTTATCTATTATAATTGCATAAATTATATAGTGCAACCTTTCATAAACACGATACATCTGCAAGTATATATTATATTCCTTTGATAAACAATACACAATGACCACTTTTTAATACTTAGCGATGCCCCGCTTGTACTATACATCTTTTCCAAGGACAAAGGAGTACAAAATTTAATTATAAGTCAAACTAATAGCGGATCAGTCTGTGTCAACGATACAATATTGCAATATAGTGGTGAGTCAGGTTATTAGGTAGTAGATGTACATTTGATAAATCTTGAATTACTCTTTGCTTATTTGCTTAGGAATGGGTAGTGAAGTTTCTGTTATAAGTATATATATATAAAGTTTTACCTAATTATTATATTGCTTAATATAATAATTTTTTATTTTCGATGATTCGAATAAAAAATACTCTTGTGAATAAAATTAATAAATAATTTCTTTGTATTTTCAACTGCTTCCAAAAGGAAAGTAATACGTGAACGTAGGATTCTTTGTTGTTACGATTGAAAATAGAAATAAAATTATTTATTAATATTTTATTAACAAAAAAGTATCGCATGGAACATTAATTCGTATCATTGAAAATGCATCTGTCAAGGAAACACTACGGAGTGTTTCCTTTAGATTGGTATAAGACTTGGTATATCAGTAATATACCTTTAAAGTGTTCTCGCAATAAACTATTAAATTGAGCTAGCCTGCCAATTTCGAGAAAAAAGCTTTTAAAGTTTTGATTGGTTGTTTATATTTTTGTAAATTCATCTACTTATCAAGTAGCGTGGTAGCGTAGGCATTAGCATTCTCGCCTGCATCACCCCGTAGTATCTTCTTGTGAGATATTTCAAGTCCTGGAATTTGGTAAATTGTCTGAACAATTACACAGAAGAAAAGTGTATTAATTATAAATGTTTTTAGGTTTCTTGTTGTGATGATATATTGATAAATTTTTCTGCTTTTGTATCGAATGTATTCGTAATTACGAATTATTAGAATCAATCAACAATACGGTTGACTGATAATATACAATTTCTTATAGATTCAGCAAATTACATTATAATCATTACATCTGTTATACTTATTTGTTCATTTTCTCTAATTGTAAGAGATTAAGTGCACTTGTGACTAGTATATTTTTATATACACTTAATGCACGACCCTATTTCATAGAGTAAATTAAAAAATAAGAAACTTAGAACAATGAGATAACATTAGTAAGTAAATACGTATTTATCTGCTTTTATTAATGTTTTATTTTTATTCTTTCTTTTCATTAATAACTTTATTAATGTCGTAAACGGTTGTAAATATTTCTAGTATTTCAAATGCAACATTTCAAATGAAACTTGGTGAAGGGTTTAATTTTACAGCAGTAAATTTATTTGTATATATGCATATATTGATAATTGCATGAATATAGGGGGAAGGGGATATAGAAATTATATGTAATGTTTAAATAGATATTACACTATTGTAGATATATTTTCATGCTTTCAATACCGTAATATTAATTACTTTAATAAAATATGATATTTAAAAGATAATAGAAGATAAAAGTTTTAATCTATATGTAGGGTAAAAAATTAATATTAATATATTAATATTTTAAACATGTTTTATTATGCGAATATATTTATGTACAGTTATTACAACAGATTTATTTGTTTATATACATGTATATATATATGTATGTAAATATAATTTTCTTTATTATATATGATACAGGGAGAAGCCATTAGCAATGTATATATTTAGCGCAAATAAGGAAAATATATCTATGATTCTTGCCAATACTTCTAGTGGTGGTGTTGGTGTTAATGAAATAATGTTGCACGCAGCAGGTATTTACTCAATATCATATATAAATCACTTGTGTGTATTAAATGTCTAAATATATAGGAAATATGCACAAATTGTTTCTAAATATGTAAGAATAACTTTAGGGGTAGTATTTCAGTATGCTTAAAATAAAAAAACTAGTTAAAATAATCATATATCTGATATCATTTGGTTTTCAAATTATAGCTGCTTATTGTCTTTCAGTAATTTATATAGCTTTACGGCGAATTTAAACAACATCTCGTATTTTCGAATAGTTTCTATGAAAATTATGTAACAACTCATACGATACAAAATCGGCTATAATTCGGTAAAAAAGTCTTATGATTATATGAATTTTTTTTCTTATTTTAGCGAATTGTTGACATTACCCCTGAAATTATGCCCACATATTTTGAAATGTCCTTTATATATGTAGATAAAATTTTCAATTTGAGGTAAGAATTGAATCAGACTATTTTCTAGTGTTTTTTAAAAAAGTTTTGTTAAATTAAGATAGTATTACTAATTTTGCTTTCTACAATGAGAAATATTTATACAGGGTGTCTAAGGTTTTCCAGTCAAATGGTTTTAAGGTATGTTATGCACGGAAATAAAGAAAAAATGTTATATAAACATAGGTCATTTCAAACTTTATTAATGAGTCCTGATATCAATTGTAAATGTTCACATTTATTGGGCAATAGGATCGTTCTTAAATTTTCAGTCGATTATGTTTATTTTTTTTTACGTTTATTTAAGATATTTACTAATTTGAAGTGATTTAGCGAATTCTAATCGATATCAGTTTTTTTAAGTTTCTTTGCGGAATACTACTGATAGAAATGTCGAAAGTATTTAAAAACCAAGAATATACGGACATTTCTAATGTGTATGATTGTTTTAAAAGAGTATCAATGCAGATTTCTTGGCAGAAGAGTACCATGTCGCTTGGTGTTTTCGAATGTGCATTTATATTTCGTCCAGTGTTAGGACTACATTCACTTGAGTATTGGGTATTTTGTACAAGAAATTAGATGATTTACAATTCGTGTTGTAACTTTTGAATATTATTGAAAAACCTCAGATATCCTGTATATCTTATGTTGCATGCATTAAAGCTATGGCTGTACATGATACATTTTCAGTAATATTTTGTGTTCTAGGTATTATTGTTATTTGAAATCTATTTTGCTTATTATTCGTATATCTATAGTTATAGACAATTTAATATTATTTGTAATAATTATTATTTATTGTAGTTTTGTAAATCACTAATTTCAAATATTAATTTTTTTATATATATACTGTTTTAGTTGACACATTACCGTTCGGTGGAGTCGGTAATTCAGGTATGGGTGCTTATCATGGAAAATACAGTTTTGATACATTTGTGCATAAAAAGGGATGTCTTATTAAAAATTTCAACATTATTGGGGAAAAGTTGGCATCGTAAGATACAGATTTTATTTAATAATAAAAATCCTTTATTTTTAATACTTTATCTATCGTTCATGATTGATTATTTTTTATTACATTTGGTAGATAAAGTATTTTAATAAAGGTATATTGATTTATATATGTAATATATCATTTGTAGATGTCGTTATCCACCTTACACTGATAGAAAATTAAGTTTACTGCAAATGTTGGTGGCCAAAAGACCCGACGTACCAGGAATAAAGTATTTGCCGCATTTGATAATGTTTGGACTAGGTGTACTCGCTACTTTTGGTGTCAAAGCTGCTCTTAAGGTACAAAAGACAGCTAGAGCTTAATTACATTTTATTATACGTTTACACGCAATATACATTGTAAATTAAGCTAGACACTAAATGTTTATACACTTAATGTTGATTTTTTTAATTATTTAATCATACGTTAATCATTTTATTATTTGTTCTCAATATATTGCTTAATCCTACATTAACACGTTCCCTGCCGCGTGGGGCGTATGCGCCCCTCGCTGAACTTTCCGTTCAAGCCATTTGGTAAGGCATACGTCAGAAACAAAATAATACAATTGTAAAGCATGGGGCGCATATGGTCTGAACGGGAAGTCTCCAAAAAACGGTATGTCAGGGAATGTGTTAAAATTAAATTTGATATTGCGATCAATATTCACACAGAAGATTTTTATACCCAATAGAATTGGTGGTTGGTAGATCTATGTACAAAGTATTTTATAAATCTATACAATTCAATTACTTGCTGTATTATTAGTTTCTGTAACAGATTTTTGTTTTTTTATTTTTTTTTATTTAACTATTTCATTTATTATTGTTTTTCTTTTTAAATGTAACATTTAAAACACATGCCGCAGTAGTTCACATACACTTATAAGTATATTAAATGAGATATACTGTATTTATGTATACGCACAATGTTATTTTATAGTATTATATCAAAGTATATGAATGAAAAAATTTGTTATTGTAATATTTTCAGGTAATAAACGTTGTAATTATTGAAGGGTCAAGTGAATAAGTAATAGGCCAGTACCACCATCCTATAAGAAAAAACCAAAATTTTGTTAAAAACTTTGAAGTTAGATATTGTTATGCTAAACGCAGACAAGGAAACTTGATATTAAATAATACATATTCATATCGTTTCAATGTATTTTTCAGAATATCAGAGGAGTGTTACTCCGTTGCTTTTTAATGCCTAATATTGGTTAGAAGAATAATTCGAAATATATGTCGGCTTTTAATAAAATATCTGTTTTTTTTTTTATAGCAATGTCGTACGAAATCAAAGCTTACAACTATATAATTTTCAAAATTATTCTAACATTAACAAAAATATTTTTTGCTATGTGTCTCATCATTTGTCTTTTTTAACTTTTTTAATTATTTATTTCAGTATTTAAAAGAGGAATCAACATCGTTGTAATCATAACTTTAACACTATTATTGAAATTATTTAATGAAAACATATATTCAACAAGATACGTAATATTTGCAGGATTTCTCCGATGAAGACCAGCTGTAACAGTAATAATTATGGTATCGTCAAAAATCAAGATCCTTGTACTAAATGGATACCGAAGTATACTTTAGTTAACAAAAAGGTTTCGTTTAATGCTATACTTTATAAGTAAAATATTAAGTAAACACTTTTAAGCGATTACACGTTATTAAGTTAACAGTCTTTTTTTTTTTATATTTCTACGAAGTTAAATTAGAAGGCTGTGTTCATATTTTTTTGTCTTTTTTTTTTTTTTATTCTTTACATTTTTTTTTTAGTTTTTTTTTAAAAAAAAAAAGATTTAATAAAAAATTCAATCCATCGGACGAAAAGAAATAAATACGATCGATGATTTTTTTTTTCTTTTTTTTTTTTTTATTCTTTACATTTTTTTTTTAGTTTTTTTTTACATCGTAACAGATATATAACGTGCCTTAGTAAGTAATTGTAGAAGAATTAATTATATCGAAAGGTGATGAGGAAAAGTGATGAGATAATAGAGATATTATTATATAATAGCATTTTTAATTAGGGGTATAATTTAATAGAATATATAGTATTGTGCTTTTTGCCAGAATGTAAGACAAAATATTTGTTATTTTTCAAAAATATATTCATTATTTTATATTTTTGGTGTATGTAAAAATGTGTGATATTATATTTTAAGAAGATAGTCATTTTGATTAATATTTCTACTTCATAAAATCCCAATCATCAATCATTCAAATAGTATTTCTTAATGTAAATATATCTTCATTTAATTTAAACGGATTTGCTCGTACTATCAGTCTAAATAATTATTTTTTTTTTGTTAAAATAATTAAAAAGTTTCCTTTTCTTACATAGAATTGATATTATAAAAAATTTAGTTTTTTATTCATAAAAAAAGGAGCAAAATTGATTTTGAAACTTTTCATTAAATAATGTTATATTTACAAAATGATAATATACTATATATATAATCAGGTTTTTATTGCACAACTTACAAAGTTTTTTACAATGTCTTATCATTATATCACATATAATTATCTCACATTTTTGGCTTG